GTCACATGACTAGTGTCACGCCACGTTTCTAGAACTATCCTGTACCTTGGCGAATGCTCTAGCATTTACTAGATATAGGGTAGTCCCTCGTTCTCTCGAACCTTCGTGAATTGTCGGGAGATCACTAGATATAGGGTAGTCTGGTATATATAAGATGGTCACAGCGTGACGTGACAATGTGTGTGTAGGTAGTGAGTAATTGAACTGCAGTCAGAAAGTATTGTTGAAGTTAAGTTCGTTATTATAGCGTTTGTTATAGAGCGACTGTTGAAAATAAGTGTATCGGTAAAGTTATATTCAGAAAGAATAAATCAGTTTTATTAAGAAAGGACTTGTGTCGCTAAAGTTTCGTGGGAACAAAGTTACGGAAAATCAACTAACAAACGGAGACGTAACATTACTTTAGACGACAAATCTATAGTTTAAACCCTTGATTGTTTTTATACTTTTGGGCGACATCTCCATGATTTAAAACTCGAGTTGTTCTATAGATTTCAACGGTAACTTTGTAATTTAAACCTTTGTCTCACTATATAGTTATAAACGGTACTTCTGTAATTGAAATTCTTACCCTTGTTGATATACGTGTTATTTAAACCTGTGTTTACTGTAGTTTTCTATTCGACTTCCGTATAATATAAATCTACGTTTAATTGTTTAATAAATATATTTTTTATACGATACCTTTGTAAGTAAAAACTGTCGTTTTAATATAGGATTCTTGTAGATATCTTTTTATACTTCCACAGAACGACACATTGTTTTCAACTGTTTCTTCCAAACACTTCTTAATCGATCGCCAATCTTTCATTTCTCGGCGGATTGACTTGAAATTTGGTAGGGTTATTTATGACTTGGTCCAGTATGCTCAGACTCCTTTTTTTTAAACTTATTTTTAAATTTGGTTTTGTTATTAAGGATTTTATAGGTTCAAAAGTCAAACAACCCCAAAAATTTATATTTTTGGACTCCTGTGCAGTCATATTTACAGCAGTCAAGATGAAAATTGGTGAAAATATAAATGTTCATATGCCCAGCACAAAAAAAAAAAAAGGTGGATGCTGTAATTTGTCTTTTTAAGTTCACAAAAAAACATAATTTTTGGTCAATTACTCGGCCTTATTTTGACCAATTTATATGATAGAAAGATACATTTCTACACGTCTCATACATATACGTACAAAAATGTGGGATATGCCAATTTTCGGTCATTTTAGGGTGTGTGTGTGTGTGAAAGGTTAAATAAACCAATAATTTTAAGGGTTTAGATCAATTACTCTGTCTTATTTCGGCCAATTTAAATGGGATGTAGTAAGAAGATATTCTTTCTGGGTCCCAAACAGAAATAGAAACAATTTTGGAATTTTTGTTATTTGCTCAACTTTTTCAGCAATTTGGGTACAGGATCAAACAAGGATGTAGACAGTTTTCCATTTGGAATGAAGCACAAAGCTACACAATGGGCTATCTGTGCTCTGTCCACCACGGGTATCGAAACTATGTTTCTACCGTTGTAAGTCAGCAGACATACCGCTGTGCCACTGGGGGTAAAAAATTGGCCATGTTGCATTCGCCTGCAAATGTTGGCCTTTTTAGTTTATTTAAACCTCTGTATTATTGTAGCTGTAATCACGATACCCTACGTAATTTATAAGTTTGTTTTAGTGTAGCTCTGTGACACTCTGTAATCCAAACCCTTGTTTTACTATGTATTTTTAGACGATAAATCTGTAATTAAAATCTTTGATTTTACTGTAACTTTTAGGCGACACCTCCATCATTTCAAACTTGTCTTTTTACTATAGAATTTTTAATAACAATCTTCTAATTTTCACTTTGGTTTAATCTACAGTCATTGGTGACATATTTATTATTGAAACTTCTGTTTTATTTTAGATTTTTTACACGATAACACTGTAATTTAAAACTTTTTTCGGTAGTTTTTAAACGTCAAATCTTTCAGTTAAACTTGTTGTTTTAATATAGAGTTTTTGGTGGAACGTTTGTTATTTAAACTTCTGTTTTAAAGTAGCTCTGTATAGAACAACTTTATTCCTTATAGATTTTTCGTCGACACCTTTGTAAGTTAAACCATTACTTCATTCTACGCTTGTAGATGATAACTTTTTAGTTTAAAACCTTTGTTTTACTGTAGATACCTGACGATATATTTATAGTTAAAACCATTGTTTTACTCTACGTCTGTAGTTGATAACTGTTTAACTTGAACCTTTGTTTTACTGTAGATACCTGACAATATATTCACAGTTAAAACCCTTGTTTTACTCTACGCTTGTGGATGATAACTGTTTAATTTAAAACTTTGTTTTACTGTAGATACGTGACGATGTTTGTCGTTAAAACCATTGTTTTACTCTACGTTTGTAGATGATAACCGTTTTACTTAAACCTTTACTTTACTGTAGATTACGTAACGATATATTTATAGTTAAAACCATTGTTTTACTCTACGCTTGTAGATGATAACTGTTTAATTTAAATCTTTGTTCCTACTGTAGTTACGTGACGATATATTCACAGTTAAAACCATTGTTTTACTCTACGCTTGTGGGTGATAACTGTTTAATTTAAAACTTTGTTTTACTGTAGATACCTGACGATATATTCACAGTTAAAACCATTGTTTTACTCTACGCTTGTGGGTGATAACTGTTTAATTTAAAACTTTGTTTTACTGTAGATTACGAAACGATATATTTATAGTTAAAACCATTGTTTTACTCTACGCTTGTGGGTGATAACTGTTTAATTTAAAACTTTGTTTTACTGTAGATTCGTGACGATGTTTGTAGTTAAAACCATTGTTTTACTCTACGCTTGTGGGTGATAACTGTTTAATTTAAAACTTTGTTTTACTGTAGATACGTGACGATGTTTGTCGTTAAAACCATTGTTTTACTCTACGCTTGTGGATGATAACTGTTTAATTTAAATCTTTGTTTTAATGTAGATTACGTGACGATATATTTATAGTTAAAAACCATTGTTTTACTCTACGTTTGTAGATGATAACTGTTTAATTTAAACCTTTGCTTTACTGTAGATTACGAAACGATATATTTATAGTTAAAACCATTGTTTTACTCTACGTTTGTAGATGATAACTGTTTAATTTAAATCTTTGTTTTAATGTAGATTACGTGACTATATATTTATA